GGATTAAAGGATTTCACCATTAACACCTCATTACCATTAGTTATAGATTGTGCTGAAAATGATTTTGTGAATTAATATGTAAAACCAGTAGGGTTGTTTTTAAAAAAATATAAATTTTAGTCCATAATACATATACTCTCTTCTCTCTATATAGGCAAAGCATTTAGGTATTATATTTGAAATTAATTATTGCCACAACAAGCATTGTTGCTTCTAGTAAAATAGAAGAGAATAATTTTTAAAATTGGTCTTAGATTAAGGTCCTTGAAAATTTTGTTGAGGTCCTTGAAAAGTCCTGGAAAGTCCTTGAATTTCAATCTCATCATAGAGTGGGAACCCTGTATAGTGATTTTTTTTTCTTTTTTAATAATGCTTTGTGAAGAAAGTTCTTTAAGCCTGTTCCGAAAAAAGTATTTGGAAAAAACTAATAATAAATAAAAAGACCTAAATCTTTTCCATGTATTCAATAATAATATAATAATGGTGCAGAACATGTTTGAACAAGGTATATGGGAAATTGAAGCAGTCCCGGGGAAATTCTTGGTCTAATTCTTTTTTTCTTTTCTTTTTTTAATTTTACTTAATGTTTTATTGTAAAAAAAAAGTTCTCTGTTTGCAAGTTATAACTTTAAATTATTACTATTTAAATATGCTGTAATTCCATATTGACCAATTGTAAAAGTTAACCCCGTATTTTTGATTACGAGATTGCAAATTTCTGGTTTGTTGTGTGTATAAGTCAATAATTTTTCCTTTAAATGTCAAGTGTCAGATGATAATAAATGCAGGGCAACTTTTGAATTCAAATGTTATTGTAAAATCTTTCAAATTGTGTGGAATTTTTAGATGGGGTTGAAATCAATTTTATGTGAGGACAAAGTAAAATTATTGCAGAGTAAAATTACTTATGACTACACGCTAAATGTTATTAAATCCCACGCAGATGACCTTTTTGAATCTTTAAATTTGTATCTTTATGGTATGTCATAAAAGTTTTCATTGTATTATATTTTTTGAAATACTCTTCAATACTTTAGCTTTTCTTCTCCATAATTTTTTTCTAAACGTAATTTAATGTATTGTTTCCAATAAAAACCTTTTGCTGTAAAGAATATAGGATTAGAGAAAATGTAAAATTAATTCTTTATATTAAGTTAAAAATAATTTTTGGAAAAGGTAAATTTATACTCAGTTATTCATGACTATCTCATTGTTTATGATGTATCAATATTTCACAATCAATGAATGCTCTACTTTATTACTTTGCTATAATTTTGAGGTTTTGAAAAACGATTTATACTCTGAGATACTTTGATTTCTATTTTATTAAAATTGCAACTTCAAGAACTGGTTAAAATCAGACGATTTTTTTTTCCATTAAAGAAAAAAATTTCATAAAATATAAACTTTACTTTCTAAAAATATTTTGAAAAAGTTATTGTAAGTTGGAAAAAACACTGTAATTGTAAAAGAAATTTCAAACCAATAAACTATTCTGGAGAAATATTAGTCTCTGAGAATTTTTTGCATCTTTGTATTCTTAAATTAAATTTCCATGTTTTGTTACATTTTGTTTTTCATTTATTTAGACAAATCTATATCAGAAGTGATGCCTTTGAATCAAGAGACTATATCTCATATTTATCAGATCATTGAATTTCTAGGACGTGAGATAAGTAAGTTAATAAAAATACTTTTATTAATATTAATACAAGGTTGTAATGCATCAGTCATTTTATAAACTTTTAACAACTGTGATAAAAAACAAGCTAAATAAATCTGAAATCTAATCTAATCTGTTTCGAAAAAATTCTTTCAATTAAAATGAAGATATTATTTAAGTTACAAAAAAAATTTTAATATTTTTCAGCGAAAATAAAATGAGATATGGTTAGGGCCCTATAAATTATGCGGAAGATTCGGAAACCCGCATAAT